ACGCCACTGCTGAATCTCTTCACCGGAAACATTCGTCACATGATCATGTCATTGGCCACAGTCATTGTTCTTTTTAAGTCAACTGTCATACTGTGGACAGTATTGTATTGGGTGTTAAATATTGTATGTCTTGTCCATTGTACAGATACAATTTAAATGATGACATAAATGATACAATATAAATTTGACCAGGTCACAGATAGGTAAATGACCTAAACAAGAAGTGTCAAATAACAAACTGTTGTAGAATTAAAGGTTACATGTTATGATATTGTCTTTGGCATAGTCTCTCGTACAGACCCTGAAGCAAATATATCCAAGAAAGCCCACACAAGTCTAGAAAATGTGGCAAGTCTAGATTTCCTCAGCTTCTGAAAATGAAGAAAGTCTCAGGGCTCCTTTTCATTATATTTTTTTTTTACTATGAACTTTTTTCAGTAAAATATGTTCATTCATTTCAGAGACTAGTTGTTAGTCTATCTTTGGCAGTATATGCCCAGAAATGTTATTTGATACCTGTGATGTTGTATTCAATGTTCCGTTCATATAATATGCTGGACATATATCTGGTGCCCGTTCTCATGATAGACTGAAGGAATATTGCTAAACTCCACGGAAAATACAAAATACTTATTGTGATAATGTATTTGCCTTCTTCAGCTCGCATTGGTTATCTGCAGATAACTTTCTTATTCGTATCTGAGTTGCAATGCAGAAATATCCGTCTCCAGGAACTAGTCAGTCTTCATGAGCATGGAAGGACACTCAGATCAGCAAACTTTGCATTTTCCGTTTGGACGTGCCACAGCAGACGGTACCGTAATTGCGATAGAACAAGCCCTGTTCTCGGAAATGCACTGCTAGAAAATGTCCGAAAATCTGAGAATATCAGCAGCTTTAGATCTCGTCTTAAAACCCTTCTCTTCAAAAGAGCAACCGAAGGAACACTATCAGGAATCTACAGATGAAGTGTTTCATACACGTCTGATTTGATTAACTGGTAAATAGGTCTTTCATGAACACAAACATTTAAGAGTAGATTTGATAACATTGCTGACGGTTATGTATATAAGCTTCGAGGCAAAAGAAAGACTACACCAGATTTTGATGGTGGCTCAAAATGAAATGAAAAAGAACCGAAACAGAATTGGTTTTCAGCAAGTCATGCATGTGAGAGGTGGCTAACGGGATCGGGCTGTCAGACTCACGGACTTGGTTCATCAATGTTATCGTATCCCCATTGCGTAGATCGAAGTAATAATATCCTTCACTGATTGGTGTAAACATTAAAATCCCGATAAGGTAATGCAGGAAATTGTGCGGTGTAGGGTTTCTACCCTATGATCAGGAACTATTCCAAGAAAAGTCAATGCAGATATAACAGTTACTTTTGTGCCCGTCTCTTGTGGGATTGCTTGAACCTAAAACCACGCAGTACATGGACTCCACGTACCATGTCATGTTCCACCGTAGTACAGGTTTCTGTGAATTTTGTTGCAAGTGAAATCTAAGTTCCTGTTTAAATCACTAACCTAATGATGAAACAGCAACCGTCAGTGCGAAAGAAGACCCAGTCTTGACAAAACCCAGGAACAGATTCCGTTTGGTGTAAAGGACAAGACTGCTTCGTAAATCAGCTCACGGAACCATAGAAAATCCGTGTGGACACCGGGTGTAAGGGTGTCCTGTTCTACCTGTAGCATCAGCCATTCACCTCATGTTCCTGAAGAGTATAAAAGCATTGTTAATCCCAACACCTCACAACAGCGGCATATGGCGGCATCCTGTACAAACCAAACAGCCATGTGATTGACAAACCAGAAAATCTAGTTGACAATTTTGAATTACGAATATTTTTTAGAAGTTCAGAGAACCCATTGCTTTCAAGAACAGGTATGTGTTTTTGAAATGTATTTGTTTGTGAACGCACTCGGGGTCAGTTTACATGTTTCAGACAAAACATTATTTCACAGGTGATTCAGCAAAGCCTCATGCTACTGAGCTTTTGATGACATTCGGGGACAGACTAATTTATTGCATAAATCATAATGACGTTGGTGAGAATCAGCACACCCAGGCGACAGAAACCAGAAGTGTATGTAGAAACCATTCTTTGTGTGATTGGGTTAACTGTGTGTCAGATATGTAACAGCATGTCAGGTTAATGCTCGTGACGTGGTGCAGTGAAACCTACAAGTGTAGTGCTGAAGTACCTATGGTCATTATTGTAGAATCTCGGAGTTTTGTTGAACGAATCTCAACATATCAAACTGAAACATGACTCAAATAGTAAAGTATCAAACTCGTGAAATTCATTTTGCTGAATGCATTTTCATCTTCACCACTATTATTGCTAGTTTATTCAAGTGAAGTTAGCAGGGCTAACATGAAACCTTCCCCACACTGGAGCATGGAACATGGAAAACTTAAATGTATGGTGCTGCTGTCAATGTAAGGCAGTACTGAAACTGGGGCAACTGTAATATCTTTTTAAACTTTGAATCAGAAAGTATGTTTAATCATGAACAATAGTTAGTTTGTCTTTTGGTTGTTTAAAGCCGCAATAATCGAGTCTCGACCAGAGGATGGAAGTATTCATGTCACTGGACTCGCTAATTTGGATAGCGTCGTTCAGTGTGATGGAGGTCTTTTCTAAAATAGGATCGCGTCCCGTACGAGGTTCATCATTGTTAAAACCTTGTTTCGGTTTCCTTGCGATTTATTCAGACCAGGACGTTAGTCACACGTCGACAGCCATTGTTTGTGGTTACACTGTTACAATGAGTTTGAAAACTTGGAGTAGTGTAAACAACAATGTTTAAAAAATAACATGCATGTACTTACATTCACGCACACACAAAACGTACATAAAACAGAATGTATTTGCACTCAACCTGTGATGAACAGGGTCAATAATAAAGCATCCGCTCACACACACAAACACAAACAATTGCCCCCACCTTAATCAAACATACACACACGCACTCACATACACACACATCTCAAACAGGCACAAACGCATACACATAAACACACACACACACACACACACTCACCCACCCACATGCCACAATCATACACAAGACCCTTGAAGATCCGGGTTAGAATTGATCTTCAGTAACCCATGCATGGCGTGTGTACCCAAAGATACACACCAACTCATATTGGCGGATATAGAAACCTGGTATTGAAAGCAGATCTTGGGATGTTGGCCAGACATACGGCTACAACCCATTAGTGATGCTGGTAGTTGTTGTAACTGATATGGCTTCATTGTAAATGTGTGTAGCTTGAATGTACACGTGTGTACCTTTAGTGGAAACGCGAGCGTACACGTGGAAAGCTTGGATGTAAACTTGTATAGATTTAGTGTAAACGTGATTAGCTCAAGAGTAAACTTGGGTACCTTGAGTGAGTATGTGAGTGTGTGTGTTTATGTTTGATTGGACTGGAGGGAATTGTTTGTGTATGAGTGTACACGTGGGTAGCTTGAGTGTGCATGTGAGTAGCTTGAGTTGTTATGAAATAGGTGTGGGAATGTTTTTATTCTGTGGGTTACATAATTTTATTAATAAAGTGTCAAGCTGTTTGGATTTGAGACTAGGAATAATAATATGTATCAGCACTGACTGTGTTTCAACGATCGATAAGTCAGTAGGTTTTTAAAAAACGAAAAACACTGTTATATGCATCCCCAGTATCCACATTTAAGCATTTGTTACGTGGGATTCAGAAATATAAGACACTTATCATATCCCAGTACAGAGTTCGCGTGACTGTGTGTTTATGACTGATCATTTTGTGAAATACCTGACGGACAAAAACACACAGGCATTCGCTCTACTCTATCGAACAGTACATGAAATACATTTTGCTGGAAATGATTCTATCAGAGAAAGGTATTTCTGTTTAATCAAACGAAATTAAATTGCACGGAAGTATACCAAATTTGTCGATTAGTTAGTCAAGACACTTTAGGAATGTTATAATCGTGGTTTATATTGATGAGGTATCCTTTAAGTTGACAAGAAAACAGATTTTGAATTGCTGGTGACAAGTAGGGCTGGATGTTGACCTGATTCTCATATTGCGATATATTGCAATAATTTAAGAGATATTGCAATACACACTGTGATATATTGACTGGAAGGTTTCTACCCAAGTGTGTTCATCATTAATGCACAATAGCTCTCTGGGCGTGACATCGTCTTCTTAGATGCTGTTAAACCATACTTTCAGGCTCCCCGTCCCCATTGTGTATGGTTGCCTGCAAATGGTTTACAGATAAATGAAATGATATAGAGCCTTAATGTAGAATGTGTAATTGAAGTACTGTATTGAAGCAATGTTTTGCGAACATAATGATCAATATAATAGCATAACATGATTTTCATTATCAGCATTGTTTTCTTTAACACAGAGTGCACTTCAAAGCATATACATATACATGAGCCGCTGTAACCCAAGTCCATTTTGATCCAGTAAGTTATCTACGCTCTTCTCAACACTTCCTGCTGACTGTTCCAAGTTGCAATTTGAAATCATTTGGTGCCAGATCATTCCCGTTTGCTACTGCATCTCTATGGAATTCCCCTCCTATTGACGTGAAGTCATCGCCAACCCCCACGTCTTTCAAAGCACACCTCAAGACCCACCTTTTCCGAAGATATCAATAACAGTTCTGCCAGCATCTCCATCCTTGTTTATAGTTTTATTATGCTGCTACTACTACTACTACTACTACTACTACTACTACTACTACTACTACTACTACTACTACTACTACTACCACTACTACTACTACTACTACTACTACTACTACACAAACTTGCCGGTGTATGATTTGGGGCATTATTTGGGAAAATAACAATTTGCTTCATGAAACGTACCTTATTCAGTTGTGTGTGTAAATATAATAACATATGTTACAAGTCTAATGCAGCGTTTGGTTTTGGAATTTATTCATCTATATTTAAATGAGATAAATTATGCTGAATTGCCACTTACCCCATTGTCAGCCGTTTTCCCTTATCTTTAACTTGCTTATTTTTTCTTCAGGAGACTGGAACACAAGGTAGGTTTTTCCATGTTAATTACTACTGGATGAATGGGTTTTGGAAAACAGAAGTTAGGTAATTCCCGCCATACCTGGCTTGAATAAAACACCAGTGTGATTTGTGTTACACGAATGTTATTGACAGTGTGTTTCGATACTGAAGTCGTGTTTCATATGACACGGGAAACATTTTACTCGAGAAGTGAAAAAGTAAGTGAATTCTCATTTCCATGACGAGTACAGAGTGAGTGAGTGAGTTTAGTTTTATGCCGCATTCAGCAATATTCCAGCTATAAGGCGACGGTCTGTAAATAATCGAATCCGGACCAGACAATTCAGTGATCAACAGCATGAGCATCTATCTACGCAATTGCGATACGATGACATGTGTCAACCAAGTCAGTAAGCCTGACCACCCGATCCTGTTTATCGCCTCTTACGACAAGCATGGGTTGCTGAAGATCAATTGTAACCCGGATCTTCACGGATATGAGTGCAGAGACCAGTCCAGTGTTAGACAGCATGCCAACGAACGTGTTGTTCAGACACGTGTTTAACACAACCAAGTATCGCTAGATGAAGGTTAAAATGCCGGTTTAACTGGTTGACAGAACACTCCGATGTTTTAGGCATGCTACCAAGCGAGGTTCCACATAGGTTGCCATAACACTTACGCATCGGATGAGATTACTTGAAGATCCGGGTTAGAATTGATCTTCAGCAATCCATGCTTGTCTCCCCCGTGAAGATTTGGGTTAGAATTGACATTCAGCAACCCATGCTTGTCTCCCCCGTGAAGACCTGGGTTAGAATTGGTCTTTAGCAACCAATATCTGTGGTAGGAGGCGACTAACGGGAGCGGGTGGTCATCACATATAGCTCGAATATTGCTGAGTGCGGCGTTAAGCAACAAACAAACAACTTGATGGACGATAGAAAACCCAGATGTCTTTAATCAATGGTTGTCAAAATGTCTTGGTGTCAACTGAAATTACTTTTAATTTTTAACTACTTTTCTGAATATGTATGTGATGATTATACTATAGTCACAGCAATCACCGTCGTTCGACAGACACGGTTTTGACATCTATTGCAACACTCAGACGTTCTCTGACAAGCCGCTGGATTCGCAGCTTGTCGTTTAGGAACGTGTCATTGACTGTTGTTGCGAAAATGTGTGGGACGTGATCTTTACCACGTTGAGAGAACATGTAGAATAGCAACTTGTCTTAAAGGACGTGTGGTTGACCTTGTTGCGAGAACATGTAGGATAGCAACTTCTCGTTTAGGGACGTGTGCTTTGTCTTTAGGGACGTGTGCTTGACCTTGTTGCAAGAACATGTAGGATAGAAAGTTGTCGTTAAGGGACGTACTCTTGATCTTGTTGCGAGAACATGTAGAGATCGGTTTTGACATGTAGTTAAATATGTACGGCTGCTGAGTATGTACGTGGATTTGCTGTGGGTGTCAGCGTAACCTACCCTATGGTTGCAGGTTGTCATCATCCCCTGCTCCAGCACCGGCGCCCACCATGGCCGACAACCGGACATACTTTGAAATTGAAGACGTCCGGGAATCGCAGGCCGGAACCATTCAGAGACGAGAAGAGGGAACCAATCTGCGACGTGATTACACGAATAGCTGCGGCTACCATGAACTCCGCCATTTACGACTCAAGAAAGATAGTGTACTGCGCATGACTGGAACAGACATGGACGACTGTTCCAGTATGAAATCAGTGTCCACCGTGAGTCAGTATGATGAACCATGGATCTAAGTATTCGGCTATCTACAGATATGGAAAGATAAGATTGCTCTTTTAGTGGACACCTGGTGTCATCACTGATTTTTAGTGATTCATTGACACATTTTTTTCACAACTATTTTATGGCCTGTGCTGAAGAGAATACATTTCAACATGTATATGGAGTTGTTTTTATCATTTTGAGAATGATTATTCTCTGGCGTTGATGGTTCTTTCTTTTTTGTTTTAAAACGAAATCTCAAGTCCATCGACATAACGATATTTGATTTAAACTCGACACTGTACTGTACGACAAGATCACGATATACATTATATACATTATAACTTTTCATATCATTGACATTTAGTTACCTTTCAGATGATAGCAAAATAACCAACAACGAAATGAGAACTTTTGTATATGTAGCATGCTCTTAAAATGCAATTGCAACTAATATCGCGTTTAGCAATATTCCAGCAATATCACGACCGGGAACACCAGAAATGAGCTCCACACATTGCCTCTGTTCATCCATCAGAAAATGGGTACCCGGTGGGATATGTGAGCTGCTATAAGCCTTCTAGCAGCTCACAGTCAGCTTGGGTTATCCGGGGTAATAATTACCAAATTGTAGCGCTTTGAGCTTGCCCCTCCGTGGTGCGGAATTCAGCACATTACTAGTGCCCTTATTATTATAACGCACGTGGAAAATCGAACCCGGTTTTCGGCGTGACGAGTGAACGCTTTGACCACTGGGCTACCCCACCGCACCCTGTCTCGGGGACATTCTTGAAATTAGTCATGGCTCCCCGACACAGGATGCCCGAGTCACAGTGACAAAAGCTGAATGAATAACAGGTTGTTTGAGCCTATGTCCGTGAGTGAGTGAGTGAGTATGGTTTTACGCCGCATTTAGCAATATTCCAGCAATATCACGGCGGGGGACACCAGAAATGAGCTTCACACATTGCACCCATGTGGGAAATGGAACCCGCGTCTTTGGCGTGACAAGCGAACGCTTAGCTACCCCAAAGCCCTCGATGCCCATAAAACGTGGTTAGGCTGGTGTCGTGGCAACAGTTTACATGTATTTGATTCAATAATCTCTCTGTATTGTATGTGGTCATCTGTTTGAGTGTACTAAATAGTTGATATAGTGTTGTCAACTTGTATATACTCGCCTGTATCAGTTTTATCTACGCTTGACAAAGATGACAATTTCCTATTGGGCTGCGTTTTACGATTGTTGCGTAGATCGATGCTCATGCTGTTGATCCCCCGTGAAGATCCGTTTTAGCATTGGTCTTCAGTAATCCACGCTTGTCGTAAGACATGTCATCGTATCCCAACTGATGCTTATGTTGTTGATACCTGGATTGTCTGTTCCAGAACCGATTATTTACAGATCGCCATCATATAGTTGGAATATTGATGAGTGCGGCGTTAAACAACAAACCACCAACCAGTCATGCTGTTGATCACTGCATTGTCTGGTCCAGACTCTATTATTTACTGACCGACGCCAAATAGCTATAATATTGCTGTAGGGCGTTAAACAACCAACCAGCCAACCAACCAATCTCACTATAGTGTAGGCCAAGGAGTCGTGTTTTCTGCATCGTGTCAGCTGGCTGAAGCCACTGGGGTCTTCCTTTAAACGCAGTCACAAATGGTCAAGTTCTGTCAGTAATATCCATTCATTTACCCATTAATATATCCACAGCGCACATTCAAAACGTTTCTGTATTAAAATCTTTGTCACGATAATATCATCGTAATTGTGCTTTCCAGCAAACAGCTGGTCATTGTCATAGATGGTATATAATTACAACATTCACCTTCAAATCTTTGAAGGGCATTTAGAAGTGGAATACATAAGAAAAGCAAGATTTATGGATGTCAACACTTCTTTATTGTCAATAACACGACGTTTCAATTACCATGCTGTTTTAGTGTATCACTGGCCTCCTCGTGTTTGTATTATATCTTATCAAATATATTACCATGTTGTTTTAGCGTATCACTGGCCTCCTCGTGTTTGTATTATTACCCATCAAATCTATTACCATGTTGTTTTAGCGTATCACTGGCCTCCTCGTGTTTGTATTATAACCCATCAAATCTATTACCATGTTGTTTTAGCGTATCACTGGCCTCCTCGTGTTTGTATTATATCCCATCAAATCTATTACCATGTTGTTTTAGTGTATCACTGGCCTCCTCGTGTTTGTATTATAACCCATCAAATCTATTACCATGTTATTTTAGCGTATCACTGGCCCCCTCGTGTTTGTATTATATCCCATCAAATCTATTACCATGTTGTTTTAGCGTATCACTGTCCTCCTCGTGTTAGTATTATATCCCATCAAATCTATTACCATGTTGTATAAGTGTATCACTGGCCTGTTTTTTATTACATATTCTTTCCTCGACATTGTTAAACCTTTTATACATGTTTTCTTTGTAAGTGCCTTATGTAGGTATATATATCCCCCTTACCCTACTATTCACCTGATGAAGGAGCAAGCATACACTCCGAAACGTCCGAAACGTCGTGTTATTCACAATAAAGAAGTGTTGACATCCATAAATCTTGCTTTTCTTAAACATTCACGTTGTAATTTCTTCGAACTCGATAAACTGATGACTACTGGTTAGTCATTGCCATTGGTTTTGTGACCGAGGTTGCTTTTGAACAATGGCTGCTCTTGAATGATCTTTTATCATTCGTTATGCATTCCAACCCGTGAAGGTCCGGGTTAGAATGAACCTTCAGTAACCCATGCTGGTCGTAAGAGGCGACTAACGGTAGCGGATGGTCAGGCTCGCTAGCTTGGTTGACACATGTTCGGTTCCCAATTGCCAGGTCGATGCTCATGCTGTTGATCACTGGACTGTCTGGTCCAGACTCGATTATTTACAGACCGCCGCCATATATATGGATATAGTTTGGCATGAAATGCATGTGGACCCGGTTTTTTGTAAATATCTCTTCATCCAATGACCCAATCGATCTCAAACTGTGCAAGTGGATGTTTTGTCAGACAACCTAATCACATTGTAAATCACCGATTTTATGCATTTGTATTAAAGAATCTGTCTATGTAACTGTCAACAAAATAAACAGCAGAACGCAGAAGGCTTGCAGAGGGAGGGAGCCAATGACCTGTAACAGCGGCAGTGTTGGGTCATAAAGGTCAACGTTCGTCAATGTAGGTCAGCTATGCTGATGACCCTGATGTCAAAAGAATCTAACTTTGGATGCCTACCTTTTTGTACAAGGTTTTGTTTATTGGTTGTTGGTTTATTTTTCACAATTGTTAGCACGATGTTCTTTTTCATGCCAAGAGCAAAAGTTGTACGTTTCATGTAATCCGACACCTTATAAATCGGTTTGCTACGTTTGCTCTCTTTTAAAAAAAAATTAAACACATTGCTAATTAAACGTTTAGCATCATCTGAATAAGCTTTCATGATGACAGCTAGAAGTAGTCAATGTGAATGATCCAAACGGTCTATCACTGTGCAGTGCACAGGTAACTATCATGAACTGCACGTGCATTTACCTTTATGACCCAACACTACCGCTGTTACAGGTCATTGGCTCCCTCCCTCTGCAAGCCTTCTGCGTTCTGCTGTTTATTTTGTTGACAGTTACATAGACAGATTCTTTAATACAAATGCATAAAATCGGTGATTTACAATGTGATTAGGTTGTCTGACAAAACATCCACTTGCACAGTTTGAGATCGATTGGGTCATTGGATGAAGAGATATTTACAAAAAACCGGGTCCACATGCATTTCATGCCAAACTATAGGTCGCAGGTTCGGTCCCCGGCCGCGTCATACCAAAATATGGTTCTTGATGGTCCCTGCCTGGCGCTAGGCATTAATGTAAACATCAAGGCTCGGAGTCAGTACAATGTGTCTGAGTGGGGTATTCATGCTTAACTACAGCTTGGTATCTCAGTGAGCTAGCACAATAAAACCAGCTGAAGTCTAGGCTAGTACAAGTAGCCACACATACACACGCATGCATGTCGTCATATGAGTGAAATATTCTTAAGTACGACGTTAAACCCCATTGCATCTCACCTCATCCATGTGGGGAATCGAACCCGGGTCTTCGGCGTGATGAGCGAACACGTTAACCACTAGGCTACCCCACTGCCCCACGTAAGGTGAGGCAAAAAGGGGTATAACATCGTGTACAAGACTGTGTGCTGTGGATGTTGCTGTTATTGAGCCGACCAGTGCTTTCGTTTTCCTCACGTACTTTAGCCACCAATCTTCCATCTCGGGCCAGACGCACTATTCATTACACCCGGAAACAGTCTCACGGATTGTGAAATTCGAAGCTCGCGTTAATGAAACATTTCTGTGTTTACCAAAACATTATTATGGAAGCGTATTAGTGCCAAAAACTAATATTATTTTCATCGACATAGGATACACATTCTCCTTCGTATTTGATACTTTCATTCGTTTTGGCTAGTTTCATTTACATGGGTGATACTTTCATATTCATAAATGATACTTTCATCTATTGAGAGGATACTTTCATCTCCTTAGAAGATGCATTCTTCTTCGTAGTTGATGCTGCCATCTACGGAGAGGCTAGTTTCATTTGCTTAGTTGATACTTTCATCCTCATAGGTGATACCTTCATCTATTGAGTGGATATTTTCATCTACATAGAAGATACTTCTTCGATTTCATGTAGGGATACTTTCATCTTCGTAGGGATACTTTCATCTTCGTAGGGATACTTTCATCTTCGTAGGTGATACCTGCATTTATTGAGAGGTTACTTTAATCTACATAGAAGATACCTTCTTCGATTTTATGTAGGGATACTTTCATCTTTGTAGGGATACTTTCATCTTCATAGGGATACTTTCATCTTCGTACAGGGGACTTTCATCTCAATATATGATATTGTCTTTTCTGAGACCGTTATTATATGCCGTGAAGTTACAATCCAAGTTGTATATGATATAAACTTGAAACAAACGTTCATCAAAGCTGGAAGTCAAACACTTCCAGCAATAGATGATACCTTTTCCGATGTAGATATTAGTATCATATACGTAAATTTTAGTTTCATCGGCGTAGAAAGTAAAGTATCTATAACGTAGATGAAAGTATCTTTATAATAGATGACAGTGTCGTC